GCAGTAGACAGGCAGCTGGGTCATATGCAAGAGAAAGACCTGTGAGATCTTGGATGAAGGTACAAACACTTTGCCAGAAGGGTTGGAGCTTTGGACAGGTTCAAAAGATATGTAGCATCATACCCCTGAATACTCCACACCTTCAGCAGTTGGGGTCAACATCTGGAAACATACAACCTGTCAGAAATCCTGCACTACTCGGCAAATAAGTTGTAATAGGATTCCTGCAGACTTGAAGAGATAGAGAACTTGTACAGGTGAAGCTCGAAAAATTAGAATATCATGCAAAAGTTCATTTATTTCAGTAATGCAACTTAAAAGGTGAAGCTAATATATGAGATCGACTCCTTACATGCAAAGCAAGATAGTTCAAGCTGTGATTTGTCATAATTGTGATGATTATGGCTTACAGCTCATGAAAACCCCAAATCCACAATCTCAGAAAATTAGAATATTACATGCAATCAATAAAACAAGGATTGCACATAGAACAATATCGGACCTATGAGAAGTATAAGCATGCATATGTACTCAGTACTTGGTTTGGGACCCTTTTGCAGCAATTACTGCCTCAATGGGAGTGGCATGGAAGCTATCAGCCTGTGGCACTGCTGAGGTGTTATGGAAGACCAGGATGCTTCGATAGTGGCCTTCAGCTCTTCTGCATTGTTCGTTCTCATGTCTCTTATCTTTCTCTTGGCAATGACCCATAGATTCTCTATGGGGTTCAGGTTAGGCGAGTTTGCTGGCCAATGAAGCACAGTAATCCCATGGTCATTGACCAGGTTTTGGTGCTTTTGGCAGTGTGGGCAGGCACCAAGTCCTGCTGGAAAATGAAGTCAGCATCCCCATAAAGCTCGTCTGTGGAAGGAAGCATGAAGGGCTCCAAAATCGTCTGGTAGACGACTGCGTTGACCCTGGACTCAATGAAGCACAGTGGACCAACACCAACAGATGACATGGCTCCCCAAATCAACACAGACTGTGGAAACTTCACACTGGACTTCAAGCATCTTGCAGTGTGTGCCTCTCCATTCTTCCTCCATACTCTGGGTCCTTGGTTTCCAAATGAGATGCAAAAGTTGCTCTAATCAGAAAAGAGGACTTTGGACCACTGAGCAACAGACCAGGTCTGTTTTTCTTTAGCCCAAGTAAGACGCTTCTGACGTTGTTTGTTGTTCAGGAGCGGCTTGACAAGAGCAATACGACATTTGAAGCCCATGTTCAGGATCCGTCTGTGTGTGGTGGCTCTTAATGCACTGACTCCAGCCTCAGTCCACTCCTTGTGAAAGTCCCCAACACTTTTGAATGGCCTTTTCCTGACAATCCTCTCCAGGCTGCGGTCATCCCTGCTGCTTGTGCACCTTTTTCTTTCACACTTTTCCCTTCCACATAACTTTCTATTAATGTGCTTTGATACAGCACTTTGGGAACATCCAACTTCTTTTGCAATTACCTTTTGAGGCTTTCCCTCCTTATGGAGGGTGTCAATGATGGTTTTCTGCACAACTGTCAGGTCAGAAGTCTTTCCCATGATTGTGATTCCTACTGAACCAGACTGAGAGACCATTTAAAGGCTCAGGAACCCTTTGCAGGTGTTATGGCTTAATTAGCTGATTAGAGTGGGACACTTTGAGCCTAGAATATTGCACCTTTTCACAATATTCTAATTTTCTGAGATTGTGGATTTGGGGTTTTCATAACCTGTAAGCCATGATCATCACAATTATGACAAATCACGGCTTGAACTATCTTGCTTTGCATGTAATGAGTCTCATATAATAATTTCACCTTTTAAGTTGTATTACTGAAATAAATGAACTTTTGCACGATATTCTAATTTTTTGAGTTTCACCTGTATATGAAGAAGAAAATTAAGTCTCTCTCGTCAGGGGTCAATTGCTGGGCCAAATCTTTCTCCTAATCCATTAGAAAAGAGGGGACTTTATTGTTGCATAGGCAATTGAAAGAGCTTGTCTAAGGGAAGAGATGATGGTACAGCTGTTTTCAAAACAGGTAAGGACAGAAAAAGCAGTTTGTAGAAGTGCAATGGAGAGAAGATAGTGTCTGCTTTGGTAGGCCTGCCATATTGGTAGGGGAGAGTCAAGCATTGATTGGTTAGCAGTGACAGATTTGCAGCTTCCATTATCCCAAAAGTCATGTAGCTTGAATTTGTTTGCCAGCGAGAAGAGGCGAAAAATGGCATAAATGAGCCCAGGTGAGAAATCCAGATTACCTATCATGGGAGACATAAGAGAATCTATGGGTAAACCTATTGCTTTAGGACCAGCCTTGTGGATTATTTTGTAGGTGGTACCTAAAATATCTCACTGCCTGTCTCTCACAGGCATTGGACAAGAGCCCATTAGCCAAGGGAGCACCTGCTGAGGAACAGTCAACATGACCTATTCTAGAGTCACCCAGCTTTTGATTGACACATGTTTGCACCAATCCAGCACTCTGGTGAGTGGCTTGGTAATAGCGCCCCCAGATTGTTTAGACAGAATAAGGGTGACTATTTTTATCCTGGAGTGAAAAAATGTCCAGAGAAACTGTGAATTCTCTTTTTATCTGGCGTAAAAAGTTCTGAAGGATGGCTACTGAGAGGGAAAGGTAGATGGGGAAAGCACATTATTTTTTTAAATACTATTCCTGCTGGACTACATGTGGGAGGACATGCTGACAAATTTAAGATTTACTGTTGCTGAAGGGGGAAGAAAGCAACAAGAATGACACAGCAGGAGAGGTGACAGGACAAACTCTGCTGTCAGGGACAGACAAAATAATGAAACTAATAAGGATTATGACTCTCTTATATTCTCTCATTTCTCAATTATCTACAGCCTGTGAACTTCAGCACTGTAAAGCTTCTGTCAGCCTTCCTTTCTAGCTAAGCCAATACATAAAATCAAGGCTTGAAATGTACATATTTTAATTACAGAAAGTGACATATAGTTTTGTAGACCAAGGAGGGGGTGACCAAGGAAGGAAATGACTGCTCTGGGCTTCAACAAAATGGATGCTTCCAGCAAGAAGAAACAGGAGCAATGCTGGAGGCAGTTCTACAGCATATACTAATTTTGATAGTATCATTATTAACGTGGATCGTATATTATTCTGTTAAAGAACATGCATTGTTACCAAACTGTTATGGGTAAAGTTCCACTTTAAGGTCTGAGAGCCTGAGCCAGCAGCTCCCATCCCCTCTCCAGCCCAGTGCTCCAATGAGTGTGGGAGGGACAGAACAGAGAATGGCAGATGACGGTCACCACTCTCAGGGAACTGAGCGACCAGAGGTCAGTTCTCGGGCTCAGAGCCAGTGGGGGACAGCTGCAGAATCAGAACAATGCTGCAACATTGAGGTGATCATGTATGTTTTTTTTTAATCTCACACTTCTCTTTTAAACAATAAAGACGTACAAGGATCTATAATGATGCAACAGTAAAGTAATACATTCTAACCAGTTACAGAACATCTCTTAACTAACCTGATTGTAACAGAGCAAAATCTGATTTGTATTAACCAAAACTTAGTATTATATGGTCAGATCAGCAAAAACATCACTATTGATTTGTTCTTGTGGGTTACAAGGATAAGAACTCCCAGTGCCGGGGCAGGCTGACATTATTCCCAGGGTGGATACATAGCTGAAGTGGAGGTTTGAAAATAACTTTGGGTACACATCACATTTTGTCATTTCAAAGATGTTTGATTCCCCCTACATCAGGACATCTACCCCTGCCTTTCCACCTTGCGTGCTGTATCCTCCTCAAACAGGCAGGACAGATTCAGGATTTTTTGCTACGCTCAAACAGGATTCCAGCCCAGCCAGCACATACTACTACACACACTACACTAGGCTGAAGCAGGGGAAGAAGGACCCCCTACCAGACTACTTCCCAATTATTTATTTCCTCCCAAAGCATGCACCAATGGCAATAAACGTTCTAGTGGTTGGTTGGGTGGCATAAATATTCATAATCCAGGATTACTGTAGCTCACCTACTGGCAGCAGCCAGGAACAGCAGCAACACTGAGCTTAGGAGAAAGCCAAATGATATACTATAACTCAGGCTGGGCAGACTTCCACCTGAGAGAACTACATTTATTTAGCCAACTCTGCTTATGGCAGGGTGGCTACACATACCTTCCAATGTTACTTACTATATTAGGTGCAAAATACTTTATGAACTCAATAAACTATTGAAATGAATCTATTTGATTGAAAGTGAATAACTGAGAAAGGTATAGAGAAAGTCAAGATCAGAGTATTCAGTAACTTGGCATGAGTCATGTTGGTGGGCCTTCACCATTGCTCTATGCACTGCTTTAATAAACCAGCCCAGCTGCACAGAATAGTGGGTAGGCATATAATAAACTGTATAAATTAAACCTAATTATCAGGCAGCACAGCCACTACGTGATTACTCCTTACACCATAAAAAATCATCAAACATATAATCATAAGAATGCATATCTGTCATAACTGATAACAGTGGCTAAACGGTTAGCACTTCCACCTGGCAGCATAGGGTTGTTAGTTCTAATCCCAACCATGGTACCACCTGCCTGGAGTTTGCATGTTCTCCCTGTGCCTGTGACGGTTTCCTCCAGGTACTCCAGTTTCCTCCTACACTCCAAAGACATGCTGATAGGTAAACTGGCTCATGTCTAAAAAAAATTGGCCCTAGTATGTGTATGTACTGAATGAATGTGAATTAGATTGTACGCTCCTTGAGGGTTAGAGACTGATGTGAATGTACAATATGCAAAGCGCTGTGTAAATTGACGGCACTATATCAGTATCTGTAATAAAATACAATTAAACATAAGGTTGCTGCGTGCACTGTAAAGTGGTTCTTACGCCATTCCTCAGTAAATAATGCAGCAAAAGATGTTGTGCAACCCACAAACCTTCACTATAAAATAATAATAAAGTCCAAAGTAGTAAGATCCTGCTGAGGAATGTTGTAAGGAGTTGAGCGGGGTCAGTTGGTGGCCATCTTGGTGGAGGTGGTGAGACAGAGAGCTGCCTGTGTTTGATATGTGCTGTACATAGCACTGAGTGTGCAATGACTTATGAGTGTCAGGGGCGGACTGACAACTCATGGGGCCCCCGGGCAATAGGGGTTCATGGGGCCCCTGTGTCCTTGCCCAAACTCAAAAAAGCCTATGAAAAAGGTACCAGGGGCATCTCATGGGGCCCCCTACTGACCTGTTTCCAAATGGTCAGTCCGCCCATGGTCCCTGTTCTTCTTTAAAGTGGTTGTAAAGGCTGCAGGTTTTTTACCTTCATGCATTCTATGCATGGAGGTAAAAAACCTTCTGTGTGTAGCAGCTCCCCCCAGCCCCCAAATACTTACCTGATCCTCATCGCGGTCCAGCAATGTGAATGACAGCCTCGGCTGTCAAAGGTCTTTGCCTCCCCATTGGCTGAGACAGCAAGCGGGAGCCATTGACTTCCACTGCTGTCAATCACAGCCAATAAGCCAATGAGGACAGAGAGGGGGTGGGGCCTAACCGCAGCTCTGTGTGTGAATGGACACACAGAACAGCGGGTGCCCCCATAGCAAGCTGCTTGCTATGGGGGAACCCGACAGACAGGAGGAGCCAGGAGAGCCTGCGGGGGTACCCAAAAAGAGGAGGATCCAGGCTGCTCTGTGCAAAACCACTGCATACAGCAGGTAAGTATAGACGTGTTTGTTATTTTGCACACAAAAAAAAGAACCTTTAGAATCACTTTAATGAATGAAATAATGCTTCTTATGTGAGTGGAAGATCCGTGGAACAGTGGAAGCCATCTGTGGTGGAGTGGATCTGGAGCCATCCTGTTTGCAGCCTGTGAAGGGGGTAAAAGTGCATGTGACCCTTGACTAGCCATCAGGGTCTAGTCTAGAGGCAAGCATATATTGTTCATGGAAGGTGTATGCAAGAGTACTACTGGTGATCAGTTACAGAAGATACTGGTGCATGGAGATATTGGGACACGTGGATAATTTGGTGGAAGATCTTACTACTTTGGACTTTATTATTATTTTATAGTGAAGGTTTGTGGGTTGTGCGCCATCTTTTGCTGCATTATATAATAACTTGTAACTGTGTTTTCTACTTATGTTTTTCAGAAATAATATGAATCAATCTACCTGTATACAGTCATGACAAGTTATTAATTAATTCAGCACGATCACAAATTAGGAACAGATGTGCAAAATTAGTATAATTAGATAATAATATACCTTTTCTATTCTTTTCTTGTAATTTTAGTGGTGAAGGTCAATGATGTACTGAACTTTTTAACCAAAAATATATAGTTTCAGCTACCTGCAATTCTATGTCTATTTGTTTAACTCATTCTGTGCTGTGATATGCATTCTTCTTGCAGGACAGATCAGGGCTATACCAGATTTAGTTAATATGTGTGTGTGAGACCGTGAGTGGAGCTGAACACATTATGCAGGAAAGCATTTCCACAGCTTTTGATGTGTACTGATTTAATTTACAGATAAGTAATCCCTGTGCAAAAAAATGGTTAATGAGTGCTGTTGAAGGATTTATGAATAGCCTTTTATGTGAAAGCTTTACAAGCAATAATACACAATGCATATGGTCACCTTATACCTCGTGTGTGTCTATACCTGTACTAAATGTACGGAGTTACCTAGTTACTTAGTTGGTAAAGTTGAATAAAGCCACCAATCCTTTCAGTTCAATGTGTATACAGTATGTGTGTGTATGTGTTTTTGTCACTACCACATTCCATATCCCTGTCTATTGCATTAGCTAAGAAATACATTTAAAGTTTTTTGAATTCCACATTCTTACTGAGTTCTTGAGTTCCACATTCTTACTGCTCTAACAGTAAAGAACCCCTTATATAGCTTAAAGTGGTAGTAAACTCTTCTTTAATAATTTTACCTACAGGTAAGCTTATAATAAAGCTGTAGGTAAAATTAATATCTCCTAAATATGAACCGTTTAGGAGATATTTGCCCATTTTGATATTCGGTGCATGAGCTCTGAAGGAACGACATACCCGTGCCATTCCTTCAGAGCACTGTGCTGTGGCCCGGGACTCCCCCGCGCATGAACAGGAGTGACGTCATCACGGCTAGGCCAGTAAGCAGGCCAGAGCTCGTGAACCTGGAAGGAAGACCGGGTGAAGATGGAAGCCCCAGGGAACTGTGACCTCGCTCCACTGGAGGGCTTCGTTTCAAGGTAAGTCCTTCATATTGCACTAGTATGCAATGCATACTAGCACATTATGCCTTTACCTTGCAGGGTTTTTTTTTCTTTTCTTTTTTGATGTGGTTTACTACCGCTTTAAGTTTAAAACGCCTATTGTCCAAATTCATTGTGTGGCTATGTGTCTTCTTTAGAGACCTTGGTTACTTGGTTTCCTTCCAACACTGAAGTCACCATTTAAAGATTTGTATGTTGCAGTCATATCCCCTCTTAAGTGTCTGTTCTCCAGGGAAATTGCTTTTATTGCTTGTATTTGTTCCTCATAACTGAGGTCCTCCAACCCGTTTATTAGCTTTGTTGCTCTGCTTTGGGCTCTCTCCAGCTCAAGGACATCTTTCCTGAGGATTGGTGACCAAAACTGTACTGCATACTCAGGATGTGGCCAAACCAGAGTTTTTTAAAGTGGTAGATTTATATAGAAATAGAATTATATCTTTGGAAAACGTGCTTTTCGATTCCTCCAGAGGTTCTCCTACTAGAGACTAACCTTCATTCATATTTTTGGCTCCTATGTGCATTACGTTACATTTAGAGCTGCCCAACCCTCTATTTTATTGAAGTCTTCTTGTAAAGTTTCTATATCCCATTTTGAAGTTATTGTCCGGCTTAGCTTTGTATCATCAGCAAACACTGAGATTGAACTCTTTAGCCCAACCTCTATAACATTTATGAACAAGTTAAACAGAATTGGTCCCAGTAAGAGCCCTGGAGCACCCCACTCACAACTTCAGACCATTCAGAAAATATGCCATTTATCACTACTCTTTGGATGCACCCTTGCAAGCAGTTTTCTGTCCAGGTACATACAATCTCATCAATGCCAAAAGACCTTCATTTTTAAATGAAACATGTATGGTGTATTGCATCAAATGCCTTAGCAAAATCTAGATACACTACGTCCACAGGCCTCCTTCTATCCAAATTACAGCTTACTTCCTCATAGAATGTTAAAGGTTTGTTCTGGCAAGAACAGCCTTTCACAAATCCATGTTGGTTATTACTAATGATTCCATTTCCATCAGCAAATTCTTGGATTTGGTCCCTTATCATTCCTTCCAATAGTTTACATACTATCGATGTCATGCTAATCTTGCTTTTGCATTTCTTATCGCACTCTTTTTTGTTTTGGAATGCCAATGTTGATCCTAGAAATATTGTGAAGACTGCTGTAGGCAGGTACAGCTGACTCCTAATGGCACAGTTTTCTCAGATTGCCAAGCTATTATAACCAAAAGCGGTACACACTAGGTGCGGTGAGCACCATTTGCATCTGAGGGTGCATTTGTATATTATTTTTGATATTAAAATGTTATAAAGCTTTACTTACTATGTGGAGTTTTTATTGATGAGATGAATTGGTGGTGAGATCTAACATCCCGAACGAGGTGGGAATTACAACTGATAATCCATCAAGTGATCTTCAGAGTCCATTGTGGGACCACAAGTGCAGTCAGACCAAAACATAGTATTATGAGAGGTCACACTGCTGGAGGTGAGCAGACGTCTGGTGGTGGAAGGATGCACTTTTGTGTTTGAAGCACTTGGTGATTATAGAAGGAAAAGAGTTGTCACTAAGAAGAAAAACACATATATATTTTTTTGGACATTTTCCTTTGGACTTATTTTTTGTTTTTTTAAGTATATAATTGTTATAAATATATTATTGTATTTTTATCACATTTGGTTTTAGGTAGAGTTTCTACAAAACAGCTTGATACCATGCATCATGTGAGTAAGGTATCTTATTTTTTTAACATAAAGAAGATGTAAACTCAGTCATTAAAATAATACCTAATAATCCTTCTGTGAAGGTCCTTGTTAAGGCCCTTCCTGTTATAAAGTGAAGTGTTTTGAATGTGCTGTACATGTGTTTTGTAAGCTTCAGGCATTCAGGTGGTGCCGCTGTGGATCCACATGAAAATCCGTGCAGCCGCACCACCTGCACAGAGGAATGCAGACCTGCGGGTGGGTGCCATTAGTTCTAATGGCATGCTGCCCGCACTGGAAAACGCAACTGTACTGGGAACTGAGGTTCCTGTGCGGGCTGCATTTTCAGAAGAAGTTCAGGGACTTCTTCCCTGCATGTCATGGGGCATGGGAGTCCATTCAAATGAATGGGCTCTTGTGTCCACGCAAAACGTGGCCCACTCGGCCACATATATGTGAACCAGGGTTTAGAGCCGACAGGGGACAGATGCAGGATAGGACCGATGCTGCATCCACCTAGGTATATACAGAAAAAAAAAAGCTCTACTTCTCTTTTTAAATGCACATAAACACTTAAGTGAAGCATATTTAGGCACAGCCTTTGAACTCTATGGGGCTAAATACAAAGATCTGTTCAAAAAAGAAGCTCCTGGTGATGATACCGCAGTGCCACAGAGCCCAAGTTGGCCTGGGATAGCCGGTCCCCCCACTCCTTAACCAGGGCGTAGAGCCACTCGCCTCGGGACCGGAGTATGGACAGAAATGGAAGCGTATTGCATGTTCGTTGGGTACCTGGTGCTAAATTATTTGTAGGTGACCTTATTCTGGGTCAGGGTTTCGTGGGTAGCAGAGCAGCTACCTCACTGCGATCTCTTGAAAGTCATCCCTTGAGCCAAGCTTTTGTAAGAAAAAAAGAGAGGAAAAAAATGTGAAAATTTCTGTCACATGCTTAAAGTGACAGAACACACTAATGTAAACAGGTGCAATTTACGTAAGTGGATTTGTACTTGTTGAGCGTTGAGCATTTGTAATTTCATTGTGAATTTATTTTTTGCAATTACAAAGTCTTATCCTATCTTATCTTCATAGGCATAAGCACAAGAAAACGCTCAGGTATGTCTGGGGCCTAATGAGTTTAATAGTCCAGGACTTTCCCATTCTTGTCATTTCTATAAATCGTTTTTTTTTTTTAGTAAATTGAACAAATTGCTGGGACAAATCACACTCCTCTTGAACAAAGTAAACCAACATTGGAATTAAACACACCCTGTCTTTAAAGTACTCCTATTCATGTCATATTCTATTTCATAAAGTTCTTCTAACAAGGAAAATAGTGATACCACTGGTAATTCCCTTTAGATTTTGCTTTTCTTTACTCCTGGCTTTTTGAGTCATTGGTTGATGGTGTACATGCAACAACCAGGGGCGGACTGACCATTTGGAAAGTCGGGCACTGCCCGAGGGCCCGGGGTCAGTTGGGAGCCCCATAAGATGCCACTGGTACCTTTTTCATAGGCTTTTTTGAGTTTGGGCAAGGACACAGGGGCCCCATGATCCCCTATTGCCTGGGGGCCCCATGAGTTGTCAGTCCGCCCCTGGCAACAACTATACACTATCTAAACACTTCTAAACCTACCATGACCTTTTTTTTAAATGTTCATTGCAGAAGGGACCAGATTCTGCAAACAACATCATCGAGCTATTCAGGCAAGGCAGGCTACTTGTTACTTATTGTCTAAAGGAATTTGGATCAGTCTCATGACAGAAGGGGAAGAGTTAACACTCCAGGTGGAGTCAAACTGACTGCCCATAACATGCATAGAAAAGAGTTAACATAAAACACAGCCCAATTCTTTATAAATAATAAGGTACGAGTACAATGGGTCTATGGTCAAGCAACCTGAGTGTGCGGCAGCTTCAGCTCAGCTCCTAGGACATTATTGAGGACAGCATGAAGATGCTACAGCTCGGTATAACATTTATCACTTTACTTGTGCAGGTGTCTGGAGAAGGTAAGACCACATTCATGAATATCATTATTGTAACAAAATAGCATTATGATAACAAAAAAACTATTCTCGTTTCTTCTTTAGTTTCCTCCTCTGTGCCGAGAGGTTAGGTTACATTTAGAGATGTTCTGGATATGTTACAGGTAACAGTTTTGTAGAGTTGACTTTTAGTGTTAGGTTCTGAGGTCAGGACAGAACTGATGTTCTTAGTTACTAATATTTTTCAGAATGTGATAGATCACTATTTTAGGTCTGATAATAAAATTGGTTACTTTGGCTGTATTTTTGGTACTGAATACACACTATATTGGTGTCAGCAGTTTTACATGCAAATTAACTGATTCTTGACAAAGTCCATTTGTGTTAATAAATACAAGTCATAGAAACTCTTTTATTTTGGCCTGATACAAGATACAACATGCAGTGGTATAGCATTATTTGGGGGACCCTAATTCTGGAATGGGAGATATTTGTGCAAAGTTTATTTTGTCAATTTAAGGGATTAGGTCCATCCATGAATTTCCTATAGTTCAGAATAACAGCCTTGCTGTCCCTATTTGATCTGTTTGGGAACAGTTTAGCAATATGTCCTCTTTCTTTATGAACAGTTTAATAGATTGTTTTCATAATCTGGTTCTGATCTCTATCACTATATAATAATAATTTAAGGATCCACACGTTTGTTTATTTATGCAATATAATTCAAATATATTTTCACTACAATGTGTTAGGACACAAAAATGTAGTTTTTATTAAAGCATATCATACCCATCCTCAAGGTTACCCTCTGTCAGTAAATATATGGACAGTTTGTAAAAATCAGTAATTTTTACAGCTGTCTGTAAATGTCAGGCGTTGATAAGTTGTCATGCTGTGTTGATTTTTGTAAGTGTAAGCCAGTCAAATTTCTTGTTATGGGTATTTTCAATGTTTTCATATTGTGTTTATACTTTTTAAATATTGATTTGTCTAGTTTTTAATGTCATTTTTCAGGTTGTCAGTAAAAAGTGTGCTCCGTCAGTGAATTTTCTGTTTTGTCAGTAAAAAATGCTGTGGGAGGTTGGCAACACTACTCCTCCTATGCATCTAGGAAAAAAATGATTTAGTGCCTGGTCATACCAGGTGTGACTTGCCATGTGAATTGCCATGCCATGCAAGTTTCAAATCACATGGGAAGTCACACCCTAGTGTCCGCAATTAAAACGGTCATATCGGTGCAATTCCGACTCGATGTCTAAAGTAGTACATGCGGTACTTCAGGTGCGACTTGCATAGACGAGAAAAAAAACACCTGTGTCTTGCAAGCCGTAGATGTCTTGCAAGTTGCACCTCAAGTTCGGAATGACACCTGACTTTGAAATCGTGTCACTTCACTGGAAGTCACAGTACTCAAAGTATGATCGGTGTGACCAAGGACTTAACGGTGTTCTCCCTTTCTTCCAGAATATTTACTCTTAGGCTCCATGTACACGGGACAGTTCTGAATGATGGAAACTGACTGCTGGAAAACGTAAATTAAAAAACATCTGTTTAGCCTCGTTTGCATACCGCATTTATGTGCGTTTGCGTTTAGAAGCGTTTTTTTTTTTTAAGATACTCTCAGGAGACCTTCCAAAATGCCCAGAAAGCACTGAAAAACAGTTTAAAATTAACTATTTCAGACATTTTAAGAGAAATAGAGAGAGCAGAAGCAGAAAGAGCAGTATTTGTTGAGATTAGCTGTCTTTTTTTTTGTGGTGTTTGGATGTGTTCCAGCTCATTTCTGTGCAGAAATTATTGCAGCAGTGTCTAACATATTTTTTTTCATGCAAAACCTCAAAGTATGGTGTGCATGCATTTTTCATGATGAAAAAAGGCTCTGGGCAGCATCTGGAAATGGAAGAGTTAAAAAAGAATTTCAAACGCAAACACCTATAAACGCAGTTAGCCGTGTTTCACTGCGTTTACAAGCGTTTTGTTCAGGGGTTGCTGAAAAAACACTGAACAGCTCCTAAACGTGAGTTTATCTGTTGCAGTGTACATGAGCCCTTAGGTAACACACAAGTTACATGTTATCTTTTATTCTTTGGCAATGAAATATTCTGTATTTTACAAAGTCTACCTTTTGCTGTAATGCTGTAAGGTGCTGATATTGTGTATAAATAGACATAATTAATTAAATATTGCAAGATTAAATATCACTTGGGAAAAGGACATATTTACCAATCTAATGGAGGCTATGGGGCTAGTCCAAACCCACTCTACCTATGGGAGAATGCTAGGTTTCAGAAAAGATAAACCTATTGTGTTTGTAAACCTGTGGAAACTATGCTCCATTGGAATAATGAAAAACGATTACGTTAGCATGATTACTCATCATGTTTCATACTAGCCTTACATTACAGCATGAAAGTATTGCACAGACCTGCATTGTTTTCTTTTTTTCTATGCTTAATCTGTTCTCATTCTTTTTTTTTTTAACATATTCAGTGTATGAAGTTTCAAGTCAGACTGTTTGGCTACTCTAGGCAACGTACCATGGATCCATGGATGTCTACATTTAATACTGGTCTAGCTGATCTACTAACTATGTTATCTAAATATTGTAACAGTTGTGCTTAAAAGTTTGCATATCTTTGGAGAATTGGTAATAGTTTGCACTATTTTTTAAGAAAACACAAGTGAGCAGGCAAAACACATTTCTTTTATTTCTTATGGGATTCATATTCAACTGTAGGTCATAACAGAATGGCACAATTGTAAAACAAAACATGGCAACAAGTGAACAAATGAAATGCCCCTGTTCAAAAGTCTGCATACCCTTAGTTCTCAATACTGTGTATTGCCCCCCTTTAGCATCAATGACAGTGTGCAGTCTTTTGTAATAGATGTCTATGAGGTCCTGAATTTTTGTAGGTGGTATAGCTGCCCATTTGTCTTGGCAAAATGCCTCCAGATCATGCAAATTCTTTGGTTGTCTTTCATGAACCACATGTTTGAGATCTCCCCAGAGTGGCTTGATAATATTAATGTCAGGAGACTGTGATGGCCACTCCAGGACCTTCAGCTTTTTCTGCTGTAACCACTGGAAGGTCAACTTGGCCTTGAGCTTAGGGTCATTGCCATGCTTGAAAGTCCAAGAGCGTCCAAAGCGCAGCTTTTATGCAGAAGAATGCAAATTGTCTGCCAGTGTTTTCTGATAGCATGCTGCATTGATCTTGCCATAATTTTTCACACGTTTTACCATGCCTTTAGAGCTCATATACCCCCAAACGTTATGGAGTCACCACTATATTTCATAGTGGGGATGGTATTCTTGGCGCTATAGACCTTGTTGACCACTCTCTAAACATAGCACCTGTGTTTGTGACCATAAAGCTCTATTTTGGTCTCCTCAATCCAGATTACAATGTGCCAGAAGCTGTGAAGCATGTCAAGGTGTTGTCGGGCATATTGCAACTGGACTTTTTTGTAGCATTGGTGCAGTAAAGGCCTCCTTTTGGCAACTCTACCATGCAGCATTTTTGTTCAAGTACCGTTGTATTGTGTTCCTTGAAACAACCACATCGTCTTTATCCAGAACAGTCTGTATTTTCTTCTGAGGTTACCTATGGGTTTTTCTTTGTGTCTCAAACAATTATTCTGCCAGTCTGGCAGTTGTGGCTGCAATCTTTCTTAGTCTACCTGACCTTGGCTTAAAATCATGAGATTGCAGAATTTTCCACTTTCCACTGAACAGTACTGGCTGGCACATTAAAGGCTTTGGATATCTTTTTATATCCGTTTCCATCTTTATAAAGTTCCATTACCTTGTTATGCAGGTCTTTTGACAGTTCTTTTCTGCTCCCCATGACTCAGTTTCTAGCCTGCTCAGTGCATCCACATGAGAGCTAACAAACTCAATGGCTATTTATGCACAGACCCTACTTGCAATTTGAAAAGCCATAGATGGGCAGAATTGACTTTTATTCCCCATTTTAACCTGTGTGTGTCACCTTGTGTGTGTGTGTACCAAGGCCAAACATTCCAGGGTATGTAAACTTTTGATCGGGGCCATTTGAGTAATTTCTGTTATCATTATGATTTAAAAAGGAGCCAAACAACTATGTGATAATAAATGGCTTCATATGATCATTATCCTTAAATAAAAGACAGTTTTTTGGCATGACCCATCTTATTTTCATTATGACCAGTCATATCAATGCCAAAATTCATTGTGACCAGACATATTAATGCCAAAAATTCCATGATTTCTGCCAGGGTGTGCAAACTTGAATTGAACAGGAAGACACTCTTAGAATACATAGGCATGTTTTCTTGCTTATTTATTGTCATCTAAGTTTCTCCGTTGATTATTTTTTTGGAGATCTATGTACAATCTTTTGATGGTGCTGACACAAATGTTATTGTGGAGTAGCAGCACTTGTAGCCCACAAGTTAGCATTAACGGTCAGTAAGGGTTCTTTCACTAAACAGGTCAATGGCAGTTGAAGTAGGGCTTAGTATTAAAGACAGAGAACTCAAGGACCATGTACCAAAGTGAAACCAACATCGAAAAGACATTAAATTGGGTTTTCTTTCCATAAAGGTAATAGTAAGCAAGCATTTTGCTTTGTCTTG